ACTGTACTCAACTTTTTTTTTTTTGTTCAGCAGTTCTGATAAAAAAGTAATTTCGTTTTGCGCGGAAACTTTTTTGCAATTTCGCAAAAAAAAAAAAATTATGGTGTTCATACTTTTTTATTCTCTATTCGGCTATGGTATGCCGTTTTTCGTATTTCCAAAAATTGTAAAAAGTTATATGCCTAATGTACATACTTGTATATGCGATTTTTCGTAATAGCAGTTTGAACATTTAAGTGTAACGTTCTATTGATTTTTATCATTTATCAAAGAAACAAGTGAAGTATAGCAAGCGTTTGATGTGTTACGTGAAATACAGTATATGCAAAATGTAATATTTTTAAATATGAAGTTTAATTCAAATCATCGTTAACAAATTTAAAGAAGTATGTCCAAAATAGGCAGTGGAACTACCACACAATATTTCTACGGCCGCTTGGACGATGGGAAGACTAAAATGCTAATATTTTTAAATGCAAATGTTAAAATGTTAGTTTATGTTTTAGTTATATACATAAGTTTAGTCATTTTAATAACTACTCAAGCATTTTTTTAATTCAATTTCATTGAATTTTCAATCTTGTTTATTGTTAAAACCTAATATGAAAGCTTATAAACATAAAGTTTAAATGCCTTCATTTTTCGTTGTTTTAGTTGCGATCGCAGTAGCGATTTATAAATAGCAAGCACTGAAACCACAGACATCGAAAAATCGCTATCGATCATAACTAATGTCTAATCATAAAACGTTTTGTTCAAAATCCATCGAGTGTAATTGCAAAATCGTCGATAATTTTACAAAAAGTCCTCCGTTAAGACCCTCTGCAAAAACAAGTGACAAACTCTTGCGATTGTAGTGGTTCAGGAAAACTCAACTATACTATATACACATACATATGGAAATGATCAGGATGAAGAGGGGAGTTAAAATTTTGATTTCTTTGCATGCATAATGACTTTCGAGTACGTCATCTTATGATTAAAGATTGCCCAAATCGAACCAAAACTTTTCAATCCCTTAGGTAATGTGGACCCAGTTCTTATAGTTGATTTTTTACCGAAAATATCGGTCAATGTGTGAGATATATAATCGGCCAATATGTGAGCTAACTTAATAAAATTGAGAGAGCGGGTTTTTTTTATAACTGGGCGTCTTTTTAAAAGGAGTAAAAAACTCGCCTTAAATCACAAGCCTTATGTACTCCCTGGGTCTAATAATTACAAGTTGTAAGAGTATGAAATGTGACTGTACATTACCGGAACCAGAGATAAAGAGATGTTTAACTCCTCTCTCATTAGAAGTGAGAGAGCAGTTGCTAAAGGTCAAAACCTACTGAACTTTGACAGCTAATCGAGTTCAGTAGGTTTTGACGTTTAACAATTGGAAACGAGCGATGGCCAGATTGAAATCTTAGCAAAAAAATATGTAAACGGAGAGATTTGTTGCATCGTTAAATACCACTTATAAAAAATGTAAACAAATGAAAATGAAATAAATTTGTGAAATTTAAGGGTATTTGATGAAACATTTTGTAATTTGAAGCATGATAGTATTATTTTCAATGGAAAATTATTAAAAACATTTAATGATTGAGAGCTAACAAGCTTAAGTCCTTTTATTGGACATTGAAAGGTCAAAAGTCAATTGTTCTAATATACTATATAAAGGTTTAAATATTTTATCCATATAATAAATAACTACTATATAGTAATTTTTATTCGTACTAAATGTTGGGTGTTTTAATTTAAATGTCCAAAAATTATTATTTTGTCCAATCTGGCCGTAATGGAAAATGTTATAAAAAACACTAATTTTGAGGTGCTCTCACACTGGAATAAGTTGAACATCCCTTTATTCCTGACCGGAACTTAGCACTTCTTTACTCATTTCAATTAGAGATGAGCGATATTGCTATTTTTCGATATCTGTGATTTCAGTGATTGCTATTTTTAAATCACTGTGATTTTATGTTGTTATTGCTTTCGCAACTAAGTCGACGTTCAAATGGAGACCGATTTGACAGTGTTTGGCGAATAAAATTCCGGATTCGTTCCAGTTATTTCTTTCAAGAAACAATTGTTAATTTCATGTTTCTTCGCAAAATCAGGTTTGAAATATTCGCATTTTATTGAAAAAATTTATTAAAAACACAGTGCAACAGAAAAAATTAATTTGTTAAGATGGAAAACCATGGGAAATAAGGAAAAAATTTAAAAGGTCATAAAAAAAATGACACATACGAACGCCAAACACTTTGAGAGGTTTAATATACTGACCTAGAACCATCACCCTGACTTTTAATTTCTCACCCCTCCAGACAATAATCCCAAAAATGTTCCACAGTGAAATTAGTACTATATTTCTTTAGAGCTGCATACTAGCACAAGTAAATTTATCGCAGGAAAGTTACTTGACCGTTCCTTAAGCATTTTTATACTCTCGCAACAAAGTTGCTAAAGAGAGTGTTATAGTTTTGTTCACATAACGGTTGTTTGTAAGTCCTAAAACTAAAAGAGTCAGATATAGGGTTATATATACCAAAGTGATCAGGGTGACGAGTAGAGTTGAAATCCGGATGTCTGTCTGTCCGTCTGTCCGCGCAAGCTGTATTTCCTGGCTCCATAAGAAGGTTAAGTTCGAAGATGGGCAAAAGCGGGACACTGCCACGCTCACAAAATGGCGAAAACCGAAAACCTATAAAGTGTCATAACTAAGCCATAAATAAAGATATTAAAGTGAAATTTGACACAAAGGATCGCATATTTAAACGTAATTTGTTTAGGCGTGGCCCCGTCCCTACTAAGGTTTTTGTACATATCTCGCAAACAACTATAGCTATGTCAACCAAACTCTACAGAGTCGTTTCGTTCAGGCATTTCCATATACAGTTCAAAAATAGAAGAAATCGGATAATAACCACGCCCACCTCCCATACAAAGGTTATGTTGAAAATGACTAAAAGTTGAAAATCACTAAAAGTGCGTTAACCGACGAACAAAAAACGTCAGAAAAAATAAATTTTACGGAAGAAAGGGCAGAGGGAAGCTACACCCAGGCTTTTTTTTTAAATTTAAAATGGGCGTGGCGTCGACCACTTATGGACCAAAAACCATATCTCAGGAAGTACTCGCCCGATTTCAATGAAATTCGGTATAAAATATTTTCTTAACACCCTAATGACATGTTCGAAATATGGGTGTGAAATCGGTTCACAACCACGCCTTCTTCCGATATAACGCTATTTTGAATTCCATCTTATGCCTTCTCTATATAATATATACATTAAGAACCAATGATGATAGCGGAATTAAACTTTACACAAATACGGTATTTGAGCTGAGGTATCCCTTGTTTAAAAATTGTCGTGTTCGGACTATAACTTTTCAATACAATTAAAATAAATGAAAATGCAATTCAATACTCAAAGTACACAAATTGATCTAATCTAATTAATTTTACAGCCAAATAAGAAAAAATGTAAATAACGGATAATGAAATCTCGATTATCACTTTATCATGCGAGAGTATAAAATGTTCGGTGACACCCGAACTTAGTCTTCCTTACTTGTTTTAAGAATAAAATTAAACAATTATGGATTGGCTTGGCTTGCAACTGGGTTTTACGAGCTGTTATAAGATAAAAACATTGAACCTATTTTTTAATGACATTATTAGCATGGAAATAGCCATCAGGGGTCTACAAATATCTAGGGATTTACGTAAATTTTGTCAGTGTGTTCAGTTTGCCATTTCATCATACGTTCCACTTTGCTACAAAACTTGAAAATTGTCCAATTTTAGTACACAAATCCACTATCATCGAAAAATCATCTCATCAGATAAGGCCCATTTAGTCCATTTCTGACTTCATGGCTTCGTCACCAAACAAATTTGTGTCTATTGGGGTGAGCCAAATCCACGTGATCCCCCAAAATTGCAGATGCCTCACACTCGCTATTGGTGTTATAACAGGATTTTGACCGATTTTTTTTTCGAAATTTAATGAAATCGCCGAGAAATATCTCTATTTGCAGCAAGACGATGTGCCGCCTCTAGATCATTTTCTATAGTTTATGTTAAAAACATAGGATTACGTCAAACAGCATGGCTGGTGAAGCTCGAAGACAACAGTCAGCCCACTATAACCGAAAATCTGCACCGGCCATCGAAAATTGGCGTAAACCGTTAGAGATGTGCAACCGGTGGTCATTTGGATGAAATCGTTAATAGCTAAACATTCTATGCATAACAGAAAAAACGTGGGTTCTATTGTTGAAAAAAGTTTAACATCACGTCGTTCTTGTTTATATACCTTATACATATATACATCCATAGGTCGAGCTCCTCCTGGGTGGGCAAAATGAAAGAAATTCAAAAATCCGTATGTAGCACATTTTTGCCTCTTGGTGATTGCTCCAACGAACATTCTTGGAAAGACAAAGATTTCTGATTTTTTTTTTTTTCATTTTGCGAAGGCGAAAATGGATAATTATTCGCTGACCAAATCCTTCAAGTTTTGGATCTAAGGTATGGAAAATATAATGGGTATTGAAATATGGACAAGGCAATGCCGGTATGCTTCTAATAAAGTCATGTTGGTAAGGGATGGGACTTAACATCAACCTCAAATATGATTATCGCTTCACAACACTTAGTAGCATAGACATAGCCAAGTGATATTTTTCTAACATACATAACATAACATTGTTTTATATACATCAGTGTTAAAGTTTATATTAAAAACTCAGAATCGTAAAATGTTTTGATTGTAAGTATTGATCCTAATCATAATACCATAGTATTGAAATATTGACCGTCTTACCTGTCTTTGGAGGATGTAACTGAATTCTGTTGCATTATTGCGGCGACTGTCGCTCATTGTGTTTATGATCTTTATCGAGAATTGAACCGAGATAATTTCCAATATATTTAACTAGAATTGGAATATACTGCAGTGATGAACATAAATTTGACCTCCAAATCTTTAAGGAAGCGAGGAATAAATAGTAAAACCCACAATTTATGTAGTTGTTAATTGTTACTAACATTTATGTATTGAAACTAAGTTGTTAGTAGGCTAACTACTTTTGTATATATTTTCATGTGGCAATATTCTAGTTACTCTGTTTTAATGACGCACGTGGAGGCTTTTCAGTGGGAATAGTACCAAATATGGTGTGTTAATTTCCCTCTCATTACGTTGAGGGTATAGCTTATTTGTTTGTTTTAGTGTTTCACTTATTCGCCAACCTACGACAACGAAATAGATGTCACAATCGGTCGGGTTTGTGTATTGCTGGTTTTGAGAGTGGATGTGTTGATGGCTTGAAGCAAGGTGGCGAGGTAGATGGGCGAGAAGTGATTGTGTAAATGCGAATCACAAATAACGAATTTCAAGTGCCTGACTCCCACGAGTGTTTTGTGTTACTTGGAAGGGCGTCTGTTTTGTGCTTTGCGAGTTGCCCTTTTCATATATACGGTTTTATGTGTTGTCAATTTCGCTGTCGGATTGTATGATATTTGAAGGTCTCTTCCTAAGTGAAATTTCGTTTCACTCTGCGTTAAATCATACGTGCTCCCATTTTGTACACAAGTAGAAATTGATTGATTTTTTATTACTCGTTTACCTTATTAACTACTCTGAAATTATTCAGTTTCTCGATTAAATAACACTTGTCTTTGGTTTTTACATAACACAATAAAAAACGTAATTATTTTATTATATATAACGTACATTTATTGCAACGTTATTTAATGTCAAGTTCAAAAATTTCCAGTAGTTGTTTTTGTTATGTGAGACAATTCCGGTGTTGGAAACAATTTGGCATCTTAAACGTTGCACGGCCGAGGAGTAACTGCTTGCTTGCTATGCTATAATGGTAAGCGTTATACGCCAGCATAACACCATCGTCCTTCTCGGAGTTTGCATCCAAAAATATCTATGCTCTTTCTTAACAGCTGGTCAGCAAGTATGCAATCGCTTTTCTCTCGGCTCTAAAGAACAACTCTCATATTCGGTCTGAGTTGCCAGATTTATTAGTTTAGTTACATCCGAAAGATGTTTTTATACCCAAATTCGAACCCGCTCTCCTTATATCATATAAAGTAATAGCTACAGTTAGAGTATTATTAAACGCTACTAAAAGAGAGCTGTGTTATTATCTTTCATATACATATGTATTTATAAAATTATTTTATGATAAATAAAAAAAAACTTTAAAATCAGGGAAAATTGGCAGTTTGTCACAAAGATTTTTTCTCTGATTAAAGTTATTTATTGTGTATTACTTGTTCACACATTTATATATTGGATACATACATACATATACTAATTTATTCATTGATATACTAAATTTCTAATTCAAGCGGAAAACTTTCGTAACACATAAGCTGCGCAATGCTTTCGAGCGGTGCAGTTGGTTTATGAAATCAATGGTAGAAAATAAAATTTGGGTGCTTGACTTCGATGCATGAATATATACCATACGTATCACACGGTTGAATATACGATACAGTCGACGCTCACAAATTAGAATTACATTGTTTTTAAAGTGATTCTAATTTCTGGAAGTTTTTTTGTATATGTTTGAGCAGTATTATTCATTTTTTTCGTACACCTCTTTTGTTCATCTTGTATACGTTTTTATCTTATCTTTGCACATGTTATTAATTTTAATAATTAATTTTTCTGCAATCAAATCAAAATTCCATACGTAAATAGTGGTTCCTTTTAGAACATCTTATCGTAATACGAGTTTAAAAATGGCGACGGAACTATAAAATCATTTCCTCAACTTGGATTCACAGATAACGGTTCGCAAGATTTCAGCGCCAATTAAATGAAACAATAGAATGATGTGCTGAACACAATGCTCGCGACAGACTGCAGCAGTACGCCAGTGAACTGAAAATGGCGTTGTGAATCCTCCTACTTGAACAAAACAACGCAGTTGTCCATTTTGCATGTACAGAATTTCGTTGTGGCTATACTAATACCTTGTACTTTAATGAAATTTTAATATTTTGTTCAAAGTGAAATTTTTTATGCAAAAAATAAGTAAATAGGTAAATTTATTCGTTTCAAATTATCAATTGTAACAGTGCTATTTTATGCTTTTATTTGCAAAATAACGTCAGGTTTGAAAAAGCTTTGAATAATTTTACCTTTTTCCATATTAGTGGCATTACCATTCTTCCTCATCTCTCTACTGTCAACTCTATTTCGTTGGCAAATATAAGAATATATTGAAGTTAGCGAGAACGACAACTGTCGGCCTGCAGTCGTGTAGTCGTGCAGCTGTCAAAATAGGTCTGTCCAAAAGAACGTGTGTATTTTAATATTTGACAGATGTCGTTTGCAGTCTGTCGCGAGCATTGTGTTCAACACATGATACTGTGAGCTATATGAAGAAATAAAGGCTGATAAGACACACCGGGTAACCCTGCGAAAAGGAGATCAAGTGTACGTATGTAAACATTAAATAAATAATAATGATTCACTCATTTATATTTTTTCTGTTAAACATAAAATAAATCAACATATCAATATTAGTAAAAATAAATAATAATTTTTATAAGATTTTTAATTTTCTGTTCGTTTGTGCCTTGGTTAGAGGATTTTTCAAACTCCCTTTGGCAGTGAGTTGCTTTAGTCCATAAATAGATGAAAACAAAAAAAAACAGAAATTAGGAACAGTAGCAGAAATATACACGTACAAGAGTGTAACTAATATTTAAATCTCAACTTTATAGTCAATAATGATATTAGACTGCAACTCTAAAGGACTACTAAGTTTACTAAGGCTTAAAAGGCTATAATAATATTTATAGCATTGAAGGCTATTAGTTTAATTAACTCAAAGCCTTACTGCATGATTTATAAGAATAGATAAATTATAGATTCTAAGATTGGACTGAAGGTAGAAATAAATGATAAGATTAGCATTATTTTGAAAGAGATTTAACAGTTATATCAATAGTTCAGTTATTATCATAATAGTTGAGCATAAAAGTTGCAAAACATAATCATAGATAAAAAAGCAGAAACAGCAACATGGATAGGATGATACGAAACTCTTTGATTCGAGAGAGAGCTGTCAAAACTCGCATTTTTTATAACATTTGCCAATGATGCCACTGCTGAAAAATATTAGATTGTTCATTTTATAAATAAATTTTGCACATTTTTAAATTTCCACACTACCACTGAGGTATGCAAATAGCGCGTTACCGATATTCTTTTTGAGTGCTCGATTCCCCAGTAGGCCTATATCCCCCATATACAACATGAAAAAAGATATATATCCATGCACATATTAACAATAAATATATAGTTAACAAATTAAAAGAATATATATGTATAAACAACAGAAACCAAAACAATTCATAAAAAATATCACAATATGTTTGCTATATAGTACTAATATGTACCTAGATAAATAAATACATTTCTTATACCTAAGGTAGCAATTTAAAATAATAAATGAACACAAAAACAAAACAATTCATAATGTAATAAAAAACAGAATAACAACACAATTCATATAAAAATATCACAAATTTAAGATATATGTATTCAATACATATATATACAAATAGACAATGCCAAAGTTTTCCAGAACCCAGTTTTAAATGACAAAATATAACTAAACAGGCGAAACAAGAAGCCGAAGAAAAATTATCTCGAAAATATTATATTTATGTGCCAATTTTAAAGCTATTTTTTTTTTATAAAAATCCTACATATGTGAAACACATAATATTTCAGTTTTAAATTCAGGTGTACTTAAGTTGAAAAATTTAAGAGCGAAAAATATACGAATCCTAATATATAATGCTAGATTAGCGTTACTGTCGCTTTTACTACAACATTTATAAGGGCTGACATGCTTCATCTTATCGAATAATAACTGCCCTACGCCTATCCTGTGACAAGTGCAATCAAATTCCCTTACAAAAATTATTTCAATTTCTTTTAAGTAATCTAAAAATCCCTGAGGCGGCTTAATTAAATTGCACCTGTCAATTTGCCTTTCTTGCGTAAAGAGGTATTCAACTGAAAACTCATCTCCTAAGTAAGGTAAGGGTTGAGAGCAAGTGTGTTTCCCAAATATTTTTAAATAAAAATAGCCACTAAAATATGCAAATGCCTTGTCTCTAAAAAAATCTACATCAAAATCATCTACCTCTAAGTTGCTTGGAACTCTTGCCACGATAGGTCCTGCATTAAACGGTCATTACACACCCTTTCTATTATTTCATTCGAAATGTTAGAAGAAAAGCTTTCGTTGGGTTACGAAGTTGGCGTAACGCAACCGCCATGATTTTTTAAACAAATTGCAGAACATGTAAGGTGTTATCCTTACACATCTACCACCGCCCCTTCTTATTTGTCCAAAATAATTTTCTAGGTTGTCCTGACATAATCGTCTCGTCTGTACATGTTGAAAACCTGAGCGTGACAAGAATCGCCACAATCGTTTTAAACTATTTATATTAAGGATCCAACCTTAAGGTAGTTGAAAGATGAAGTGATGTCAGCCCCGGTGTCATCGTTAACCCTAATTGTCTTTAAAAGCTTAAGAGCCTCGTCTAAAAAGTGCAATTGTTCAGGTGCTGCCAAAAAAACCTTTTTTGTTGGGCAAAATAGCTTCAAAATTACTACTATTAAATATATCAAATAATTATTAATAAATAAAATATATTCCGCCGTATTACAATAACTATTCGAGGGGCAAGTCAAATGACCGGAACTATAAATTGATAACATTCCGGAAGCGACTGTGTCACTGAACACTTGACACTTGACTAGCAAGTTTGACACTCATTTTTTGAAAATTATTTGGCGCAATGTGAGCATCAGACAGTTTCGGTGCACAGCGAATGTGATTTTGCGAGTCTTTATTATAAAAGTAAACTATATCGGACCTAACTTTATTTTTACAATTTTCGAGATAATTTCG